TGGCTTGTCAGAGATCCACAACCAGGTCAAAGTGTCATCAAATCTCATTCGTAGACCTAGTATCATTAGCTGTATAGCCATACTGTAAATAGCCATAACATATTCCCTCCCACCATTGCCAACTCATCACACAGTTCATTTCATTATTATATTCATCTTGATGATTATTATACATTGCATTTACTCTGTAGATAGTCTAGTTAATAAACCTCTTTATTTACACTCAGTCGTTGTTCTGTTGTGTTCTTCTGAAGTAGAGACTGGAGATCCATTGTCACCGAAGTCAAGGCTTCTGATATGAGATTGATCACATTAATCAATGAAGTAATTCATTGTTGTCCTCCCTGAGGACTGGTGTCCCCTTTCAACAAGAGAAAATTCTAAATTTTGATATTCACACTACAGTGGCACTACATGGCACAAAAGTCATTTCTCATATCAAAGGACATTTTTTTCTTCCTCCACTGGCACAAAATTTTGTTTTGATTCTACCAGTAGGGGTATACATTTGAAAACCTCTGACTTTGGCATATCTGACATGGAGGCTTTAATGAAACTAAATTTGTGCAATTTTTTGAAACATTTACACAAATGCAATAATTTAACAGAGAAAACTAGAATTACCGCCTCGTGGTTATATGCCTCCACCAACCAATTGCAGGAAATATGGCCACAATCTCCCCTTCCTGAGTTGCAGCATTGAATAATTAGTGTTTTTGCATATCAACCAGTTCAATGTTTGTGCCAAATTTGAAGAAATTGCCTCAAGGTGTTAGAGATTTCATGTTCACGAGAATGAGACGTATGGACAACCAGAAAACATAATGCCTCTGGCCCTGGCTGTCACCAGCACAGAGGCATAAAAACAACCACAGTCATTGCAGTCATTTTAATATGCTAAGTTCAGGGTCAAACATAATACCTATGGATTTTAGGCATAACATTTGAAGTTTAGTCAGCTAACAACTAAATTTCAGAGCAGAGTCAGTGCCCCCAGCTTTCTGAAATAACTGATTTACTAGGAGGTGAGAGGTAAACCTAGAGGAAGGATTACACACATTTGTTAAGGTTTTGCCACAACAGTGCCACAGTATTGCTTCTTTATGGAATTTTCTTTTGAATATTCTATAACCACACCGAATATAGCTCAAGGGGTTAAGTAAGCCTTTTTAAATCTATTTTGTTTCTTTTTACGTATGTTGATATAAATTGTTTTAATCTTTATACATGTCAGTGAATTGTAAGGAAGAAGATATGGTGACGCTATTTGGGCACTGCAGAAATTCATTTGAGAGTAAGATCCTTTGAGAATATGCATGGTCAAATGTTGAGAAGAGCAGATATTAGCCGTCACCCAGGCACGGTACTCATCTTTTAGTTACTAGCCAGCAATCTGAAAGGTAAGACTCTTACTTAGATTCTAAATGGAAAATACAAAAACCATATTGTATAACTATATTATATGTATCTGTTTCCTTTTATATGTTGTATCTTTGTAAGATAATCCACAGGTTGAAATAATAACATCTACAAGCTTTTGTAAAAAACCTGTGAGGAAAGTAGTACAATGACAAATGATTGTTACCAAGGCAGTTTTGGTTCTAATAAATTCTAGTCAGGTAGAAAGAGATGAGTGAAGAATGTAATATACAATTACCTTTTTGGCTGCAATTATTGTCTCAACTGTTTTAATGAGTACTAATTATTATTTCTCAAGTAATCGCTTAATAATTTACTCTAATAAATGTCAAACATAATGGAAAATGCCAGACACAAATTACCAGAGGCCAAAGAAAAGTGTCAAAAGTTCTAAGTATGTCTGAAAAACTGAAGTGTATACAAAATTATAATCCTATGAAATGGAAAAGGGAGAAAATCTTCACATCAGAGAAGCTTGAATTTGCAAATATTTTGTGTTTTGTGAGACTAATAATTTCCATGGATGTTCTTACTGTTTGGTCATGTTAAATATTACATTTGCTATGTCACATGTAATGAATTTCGACTTATACCTTACATTGTTTTATTTGCCTTGGTGCTGATTGTGAATTAGGTAATAATGATCCACACCAATGTGACAAGGATGAGAAGCTTCTTCATCCTCGGTTTCCCTGGACTTTCACCACAGTATTATGGACCTGTGTCGGCTTTGCTTTTTGTCATCTACCTAGCTATTGCAATAGGGAACATTTTCATTTTATCATTTGTTTTCTGTGAGAAGTCACTGCAAAAACCAACATATCTGGTCTTTTGTCACTTGGCAGTGAACGACTTAACATTTGGCACTGTGACTCTCCCAAAGATCATATCAAAATACTGGTTTGGTGATACCACTATTTCATTTTATGGTTGTTTTACTCAGATGTTCTTTGTCCACTATTTAGGATCAGTAACTTCTTTTATCTTGTTGGTAATGGCTCTTGACCGATTTATTGCGATCTGTATTCCACTGCGTTATCCTGTCCTAATCACAAACAACATCATATCTGTGCTCTGTGGGTTTGCTTGGTTCATACCTGTGTCTTTGATGGTGACTATTGTACTGCATGCCCTCACTTTACCTTACTGTAAATCAAATGTCATTTCTCAATGCTACTGTGACCACATTTCTATAACAAGTCAGGCATGCGGTGAGGATGTTAAAATTGTACAGGTCACTACTCTCTGCATGGCCATGTTTTGTCTTTTGCTTCCTCTTGCATTCATCTTATTTTCCTACTTTTCCATCATAGTGGTTATTTTGAAAATGTCTAATGCTGCCGGCCGAAAAAAGACCTTATCAACTTGTACCCCACAAATATTCATCACTTGTCTTTTTTACCTGCCCAGATGTTTTGTTTATGTTGCTAACACTGTTGGATTTTCTTTCAGTTTAGATGTTCGTATTTTATTGATATTGTTGTACAGTCTTTTTCCTGCTGCTGTTAATCCAATCATATATTGTTTTAAGACTCAGGATATCAAGCAGACTTTGATGAAGAAGGTGAAAACAACAAAGATTGGAATAGAGATTAAATTTTCAGTCTAATAACATACCTCAGCCATCTACTCAGAAAGCTTGGTTTGATTTGCAAGAAATGTGATTGTACAACAGAAACAGATTTTTCAAGTTTGCACAAGATGCACGTTCTGTTTTTGTATGTACTTGTGTGTTTCATTACAGCAAAACTGACATTTTGCAGCAATTCAGATGATAATAATATGTAAATGGTACTCACCGGTAATTTCTGGTGTGATTGCTTTCCAAATACTGCACTTTATGTCATACAATGGAAGCAGTGAGCAATAGTAAGAAATAATACTGGATACTTAACTTCTGCATTATGACAGGACTCCAGCTACCACAACTAAGGCCTTGATTTTATTCACTCGCAAGGATGTGTTTTTCATTTGTTTTTTGGGGTTACATTGAAATACTAAAAGCTCCAGCTACAAAGTGTGGCAATTAGTTGTGACAATTTACTTAATTGCAAATTTGTTTTTTAAAAATGTATAATATAAAAATTTACTAAATTAAATAATAGCTCCCCTCAATCTTGGGTTTTTAGTTGTTATTTTTCTCAAAATAAAGTGATTAAATTTCAGGGCTTATCTGTGATGAACTGGTGAGATGTGGAGTTGATCCGGTTGCTGGTCTGATGCTCCTCTGCTTCAGTCCACTTTTCTTTTCTTTTCTTTTCTTCAGTTATGAAATGAAACACCCACAAACACAGAGCAACATTAACTATCTCTCAAAAATACAAATAAAATCTGAGCAATTAAAAAGTATTGCATTACATTTGGATACATTAGCTGCTGCACCTGTAAAACCCCCACTTCCTTGCTCCAATTGTTTTTCTTGCCAAAATAAAACACAGTGAAATGCGCTATATAAATGAATAGGGTTAAGTACTCTTTCCAGGGGATTGTCTCCTACATTCAGACTTATCCAACCGCTACATTAAACTAGCACGACATTGTTAATATTTAGCTAGCGTTAGCGTTGACAATATTAACCACAAAAAATAAAACACAGACATGAAATCATCAGTAGAAGCTCTACCTGCTACTCCTTGTAGTATTTTCTAGATGACTTTTGTTAGGAACATTAAACTTTGAACCTGTGACTCCACAACTGTCTTACCTTCATCTGTCTTAGCTGCAGACGCCGTACCGGCTGCGGGGTCGTGCGTAAACGTCGCCGCCATATTGGATTGGATAAGACAGCATGCAATCAAATACAAGTGAGAAGCTGCAGTTTGTCTGGATAAACTTTTTCAGCCGAATTACCAGATGCAAACTGCAGATGTTTTCATTGATGAAAAGACTGTTAAAAGCCGTAACTGGGGTGGCGATACATCTCTCCCCAGGAAATATTTTCTTTTGCAAATTACTTGTATATAAGTAGACATGTTTACATTAAAGTAACAATGAAACTTGAACTAATTTGAAAGGAGTCAAATTAATATGTCAGAGAGACACCAATTAAGGAAATAACAAAAAAGGTCCAATTCTATGAAGGTTTTTAAAGGAAATTTTGTGAATCAATTGTAAAATTGTTGATTTGCCATTTAAATGAAGAATAAGATCATCAGAGGTTTTGTGTAGACTGCTGATAATGCCTTAATGTAATCAATTTTATTTTGTGTTGCAACTGATAAAATAATGTAGTGACATTCTATGTGCTCCATAGTATACTGTAGTGTATATTTGCCATGGCTGTAAGGCACTGACAGGACACTAAATACTATTTTATTGAAAGCGTCATCTGTCATGTTGAAGTAGTCGAGTGCTTTTGGGAAATGCAATCCATTTGGGACTTACTTGTTTACATAAAATGTAGTATCAGACAAGATCCTGAGCATTATGTGTCCTGAGATGTTGCAGGATGCTTATGGAACCACTGTAAGTATATTGTCAACACTTCTGTCTTATCCTGTATTTTTCTCAACTCAGCCTAATAACTACTTAAGTCTCTGTGTTTTCTACTTGATATATTTCTATTGTGAATTCAAGTGAATATGTTCTACACAAATGTAACAAGGATAAAAGATTTCTTCATTGTTGGATTTCCTGGACTTTTACCAGAGCATTATGGTCCTGTGTCGGCCCTGCTTTTTGTACTCTTCTTGGCCATAGCTGTGGGAAATATTTTCATTTTAGCATTTGTTAAATATGAACAGTCTCTTCACAAACCCACCTATCTGATCTTTTGCCACCTTGCATTATGTGACTTTGTGTTTGGGTGTGTTACTCTTCCAAAGATTATATTAAAATATTGGTTTGATGACAGCATTATTTCATTTTATGGTTGCTTTGCACAAATGTATTTTGTTCATTTTTTAGGGGCAACTCATTCTTTCATCCTGATGGTGATGGCCCTTGACCGTTTTATTGCAGTTTGTGCTCCACTGCGTTACACAGCTCTGTTCACAAACACCACAGTGTCTGTGCTTTGTGGAATATCATGGTTTATGCCAATAACATGGATGGTGGGTATAGTTTTAGATGCTCTTGCATTGCCTTATTGTAATTCAAATATAATTTTACATTGCTATTGTGACCATTTATCAATAACAGGACTCGGATGTGAGAATGTACGAAGAGTTCAGCTAGTTGGACTTGGTCTTGCCATGTTCAGTTTGTTGGTGCCTCTGGGTTTTATTATATTCTCTTATTTTGTCGTCATTGTTGCTGTAATTCGTATGTCCAGCTCTGAAGGCCGCCTCAGGACTATGTCTACCTGCATGCCACAGCTCCTTATCACATTTCTGTATTATATGCCACGGTGCTTTGTGTACCTGGCAAATAATGTAGGTTTCACTTTCAGTGCTCCAGTTCGCATTGTTGTTGTGATGCTGTACAGTCTTTTACCTGCTGCTGTCAACCCAATAATATACTGTTTCAAAACCAAGGACATCAAAGAATGCTTGAAGAAGAAATTCTTCACTAGGAAAATTAAGATTAGCACAAAAAATTTATCAAATCCAATCCAGCAGTGTACAATTAAATAACATAGATTGACATTGGGCAATTAAGGAAGTGATCTGTTGTTTTATTTTACTGTTTTAAATGTACCACTTCCCCTGAGTTTTAGAATAAATTTTAAGACATTGCTTCTAACTTTTAAAGCTGCACATCAAGCTCCTAATTACAATTTATAAAACCCTAGCATTCTGAGACCCACAAGCAGGGCTCTCCTCATTGTTCCAAACAGTAGGGATGACTGAGCCTTTAGTTTTGGGTCTCTCGCTCTGGATTAAAAAACACTTCAGCACTTCATTTTGACAGCCTATTGTAACAAATTTGTACTCTGCTCTTAATGTTATATTTCATTATTTCATTCAGTTTTCTTCTATTGTATTTTCTTGTCATGTTATATCATATCTTTTTAGCACAACTTTATTGTTTCTTATTGAGTTACTCTAATGTCTTATTTTAAAATATTGTGTAACATCGTGTAAAAAAAGTGCATAAATCAAATTTATTATAATTTATTATTAGAAATACATTTGCATCTTGACATCAAAATAAATCAAGTTTCAAGTTTGTAATTTTTAATAAAACATTTGTCTGTCTTAGAAACAGGTCTCTTGCTCTCACAGACACACACTTGAGAGGCAAAAACTCCTGCATACTACAAAATAGAAAAGGCAAATATACATCGTGACCTGGCCTGTTTAGTGCAAAACAAGTTCAGACTCCACAAGCATAAATGTTAGCTGTTCTAGTGGAAGTGTTCAGTGTCAGAGAAATTCTGTTCAATAAATGAACTGTTACACTATGTGTATTTATCATCCAAATAAATCAATTACTGTCGTAAGATGAATTAAAAACACATGCAAAGTCATATGAGAAGTATGAAAACTTTTACTTTTAAATAAAGTGAAATAGAAACAATTACAAAGTGACTGAGTGAAGCAAGAGCCATCTCTAACTCTGCTGTTGTCCTGTTATGTGTATTCTGTGTGGAAATAATTAACTAAATTTAAAAAAAAGAACTAGATAGCATTTTGAAAACTGATATATTCCCATAGATATGTGTCATTTGCATATTCAATTAAGCTTTTTACATTTAGATGAATATACAGAGTAAAACTGAGACAGGATAACATCCATCAAAGTGCTGAGTAGAATCCTCTGATGGTTGTATACTGATTCAGTCAAAGATGAAATCAGCCTTTTTCTTTCATCTTGAATCTGCCTATAGTTCTTGAAATACACAATGAAATACACGCTTAAATATACTGTACTTCCCCTAATTAAAAAAAACATTTTTTTTATTATTTTGATTTTAAGGGCAATTGTGAAACCTCTTAACTACTCAATATGTGATAAAACACAAAATATACAATCTTTATATAATCTATACAGTTGATCAGACCACCTCTGAATGTAACCTTGAATTTGTCCACTAGATAGAGCCAAACCATCAGAATATGTTAAAATAAAGTGGAGCCTGAGATGAATGTCCACTTATACTTACAATTTTAAATCAAAAGACATAGGCTGTGGTGGTGATGGGTTTTGACAGTACTTGAAACTCTTATGTTTCATTAATTTTAATTTTCTTTACTAAGACAGTACAGGATATCAGACACCCAGTGAGTAAGATCCAGATCCAGAGTTCTGCTTTAAGTGAAAACATATTTCATTGCTTGTTTAGAACTAAAACTTCAGACTTCCATTAATTTGCAGTATTAGTGAATTTTGATACATTACAGCAACACCTTTATAATGACATTCAAATAATTTCCTCTGTATCACTTTGCATGTCATAGCTCTGACTGGGTTCCATGGCTAGACATGCAATATCCTCAAATACGGGAACATAGCTGCTATAAGGCAGATGCATATTTAAAATATTTTCCCATCGCTCAAACATCCCGGAGGGAGTACTGTCATCTTTATGCTGACCTGCAGCAGAGTGACAGTTGTGTTTGAATAATGTACTCACAGGCAAAATGTCTTGTTGTCTGAAGCTGCGTGCAGAGAGGCTTGACTGGTAATGTCCATCTTCCCTGGTGCTGATGACAGAAACCTGTCTACACTCCGACTCGGAGCAGGTGAATGTGCTGTCTGTTTCACTGTCAGATGAGACATCCTTCATCGTGGTGGACTTGGTGGGTCCACACCTCAGGGATGCTTGATGTGACATTGTTTGCTCCAGAGGAGCATTTATTTTACCAATTTCTTCAAAGGTGAGGCATTGCACAGGTTCTAGGAGCTCTGGTTGTGGGATCTTCTTTATGTAACAAGGTGGTGTATTCTGTGGCTGCTCTGACAATTGCTTGTTTAGGGAGGCCACATGTTGAGGTTTTGTTGGACTCTTTGCCTTCTCTTCGCTGGAGCATTCCTTCTTAAATCTTGTGAGTAGCATCTTCAAATCTCCCCACCGTTTAGGATCAGCTTTCGCACACTTTGTGCTATACAAATGCTTGTGCCAGCTGAGCTCGAGGGAGGTGTCTGAATGAAACGCACTAGAGATGCTGCCGATTTCATAATACTCCAGGTCACTGTTGGGCTCCGGCTGCACACTTGACAGACTGGCATCACAGTAAAACTCCACACTTGACCTCTGCAGATCAGCAGTCATTGGGTCATGTTGTTTCTCTTTTTCTGCAGGTGCAGCATCCGTGAGCGTCATGTTGTCATCAAAACAAAAAGTTACATTGTCTGTCCCTCGCTCTGTCTTCTGTGGCAAACTATCAGGCTGACACTTTGCGTTCTGCCGCCTCACTCTGTAAATGGCAAGAAACATTCCTATAATAACCAGGATGGAGATTAGAGGAAGGATCACAGCTATGAGCCACAGAGGCACACTGCCCTCTGCCTCAGAGCACTGATCACGGCTTTCTGTTGTAGAGATGCAGATATCGCAGGCATGGTCTGAGACATTATGCAAACAGATGCAGGACCTGTTCTGCACAGCGGGTCCACACCTCCACCGGGTTTGACACTGTCCAGAGAGACAACTCCTCCTGACAGTGTCCTCATCAGAGCAGGGGGAGGGCAGACAGACACCTGGAGAGATGCAGCTGGACTGGAGAAGAGTCGGGCTCGGCCAGATGTCCACCGTCACACTGTGTCCGCTGACAGGCAGAGTGTAACCGGTCACATTGAAATACTGAACACATCCAGTGAACCCTGTCAAAAATAGCATGAAGAGAGTCATCAGTGGTACTCAAAGTGCTAAAAATGCAAGGTGACCACTTCATGTAAAAACAATGGTTGCATCTAGAGTCATTTACTTAAAAACCTTGCTCCTCATTTAAGTAATTCTGCTTACACTTTATTATACATGTAAAGGGAAAGGGTTGAATAGAACACAAACTCAATGATCTATTCCTACACCAAACAAAGAGACAACCTAACCTGATAAAAAAACCTCCTGTATGAGGTGAAGTGATAAAACGATGTGCTGCCCTGTAAGATGCACAGGCGAGATATGACAGCAGCAGGCAAGACGCAACAAGAAACCTTTAAGTATTTTGTCTCTTTAATGCTTCTTGCTAAGAGTATTTACATCAAAAAAAGGAAAACACAAAAAAGATGATCTTTTCTTTTAGATTTCATTTATCTTTTCACATGTTCTATAATATGACGATTAACAGTGCTTGTACAGAAATTATGGGTCCAAGATTTATTCATTGTCAGTAGAAAAAGAGTGTATTGGTATGATCATTATGACTTGGCAACTATCTAAAAGAAAAACTCAACAGATACGATCAGATAGCAATAATTCTTGTAAATCTCACCTGACTGTTGGAGCTTTGAGTCGCCTGTCAGAGCCGCACCAAGAATAATCTTTTCCACACTAACAGGAATGAGATCCATTATTCGGTCGGTGATGTTCAAGACCGGTTTTCCATCCAGAGTCAGAAAAGTGATCTGTCCATTGCTGAACAAGGATAGGACATGCCAGACCCCGTCAGCCACTGTAGAGTCCACAGTGAACTCTGACAGGTGTCCGGACAGCGTGTCTTTGGACAGGAACACAGGCTTTCTGTCTTTTATCTGAATGACATAGAAAAAACTGTTTTATGCTACGAATAAAAATACAAGATGAGTAGATATCTAAATGAGATTCATACCTACCTTCAGCATGATATATCCTGTCTGTCCAGTAACAAACATTAGTGCTCCATTGTGTTTGGTCTTGAACTTGATGTTAATCACTGTTTGATCTTTGTTGTTTCCCTCTTTCTCATCATCCAGCGAGTCTTTTAGCAGGTAGTCTCTCTTGAATCTCTCCTTTATGACATACTCAATGTAGTCATTCCCATCAAGTCTCAATACAAATTCTTCTGATGATTCTGTTAAATGAAAGGGGAAAATCTTTATCTTTCATTCATGATTCAAAAATAAATACTCAAAATCAAAATAAAACTCAATTCTATGAAATAAATATATATACTACTAATACTGTATGTGTTTAGATTCTCATCCATTATGTAGTACAATCAGGCAGGCATCTGATTTGTCTCAGATTTATTCTACACATGACAACGACCCCAAACACACAGCCAGATTCATAAAGAGCTGTCTTTAGCCACAAGAGGAACAATGAGTCCTACAGATGTTGTGATCTCAGCATCAGTCTGGGATTACATGAAGAGACAGAAGACACTGAGACAGCCGAATCCCACAGAAGCACTGTGGAAAGTTCTCCAAGATGAGTAGAACGACCTATCTGACAAGTATTCTTAAAAACCACGCAAGCGCACTGAGGAGAATTGGTGCTGTTTTAAAGGCATAACATGGTCACACCAAATACTGCACTTTGTATGAAGTTAATTGACAAATAAAAACTTTTCATGCCATTATATTTGAAAGAATCCTCACTTTAAAGCATTTTTCACAAGTGCGAAAAACTTCAGTTTTACATATATATAACTACATATAATTCTTTTCTTCTTCTTTCGTACCTTCGGCACAGTCGCTTCCAAAAAAAGGACTCTTGCACTCACAGAGATGGTCAGACCACAGATCGTGGCATACACCACCATTCTTA